ATTAATTTAAATTGAAATACATAAGATGTTAGGACAGATATATAGAAATGTGACGGCCAAAGTCACGTATCACAGATAACTTCGCGTCACGTTCTCGAGATAGAAAACTGTATTAGTAACTCTCAACTTTAGGATAGCTACCAACTATTAAACTGAATTGTCCAGAAATTCTCTGCTGCTTTCTCCACAATGAGATTAAAAACTTTCCACTCAATATTTATCTTGGTTAGAAAAAATACTTTCTCGGCCACAACGAATATTAACTTTGTCTGCAGTTTACAGTATATCTATATATATTTTTTTAAAAGATGATGACGGAATGTTTTTGTGGAGATCAGAGATAGTCAAATCAGTTAGCCTATAGCGACAAATTCACTAGGATTATCGGGATGGTTTACAGGGAACCCCGTGGAGGACGTGGTACATTGCTAACTATGGGGTCAAAAGCCACATTACTAACAATCCTCTTATTCCAATGTATCAATAATTTGGTTCTCAATGAGAAATTTAGAATGTAACTCGCGACTAACGCGAAAGTAAAGGTGATTCTTTTGTTGAGCTTGCTTATCCTAGAAACTACTGGTTCGAATTGAAAATTATTTTGTGTAGGATCCCTTATTTAACGGAGAAGGCTATATAACATCAGGCTACCACTATCAGGATTGGATCATCAACTAACAGTAAAGCAGGCGAAAAGCGGCATAGTTAGTTTTTAATAAACTCTTTTATACTTAAATCCCACGCATCGAACTATGAAAGGTAAATAATTCGGTAATTATACCAAATTTTCAAAGTTTGATGGTAGCACAGATGGCAGGTACAAACGAAGTAGTGGATGTTAATTTTATTTACCCACTTTAAACAGTGCACAAGTCCTAAACAAACAAATAAGAAGCGATGTCATTACGGAACTTCGCTTCGCTTTCCATCAAGTGAATAAAATATTTTTAGAAACGTTCACAAAACTGATTTAACGACAAATTTCAATATGGCGTCAGATAAATGGGATCGTAAAACCGTCACTCCTGATTAGCAGCAGTAGATAACAGCTCTCGAGCTATCACAGAAGCGTTCGGTTAGTTTCAAACTGGTGGTTGACAGTTAATTACCATTCATCAATCCATACTGAGCCTATTTTGCAAACATTATTAACAACCGTGACGGTGTCGCGGTTGGTCACCTTCCGATAAATGCTGGTTTGATAAAAATACGAGTACAAACATATTTGTTTCTAGCTGGGAAAACAAAATATTAATAATAGTGGTGTGATATACAAGCTGAGAAAATTATACGAATAATAATCAGGCCGTCATGTTTTTTTATTGAGTTGTTTCAGCTATCGTCAGGCGCTAAGACCTGTAGCACTGCGATCTATATAGATCTATTTTGTTCGCCCTTTTGCAGGGTTCACTACCTAGACCCGTCAGGGACAAGAATTGAAGGATATTCTTAGGAGCGGTGGTTTTTACCTCCGCAGGATAGAGTGTAAACTTTCCAAAGGAGATATTACGTTTATGCATGAGTGAGCTACAACCACATAGGATATGTAGTGGCGTTTCTCTTCAGTTTGGCAAAATCTGAAGATTCAGTTTGCCATTAAACTCTGACAAAAGGTTAAGAGAAGGAACAAGTTTGGGGTTTTTAGACGGTAAGCGTCCAGCAGTAGCCGCCTACCTCTCCTGGGCCGGGAAGCTCTTCATGAGGATTTTCCCCAAGTTAAAAAATAAAAAAGATAGGATAGTGAGAGACATTGTCAACTATTAATGTCATGGACAGGAAAAGGACATGACATGGTCACATTTCACTTGTTTTTTTTCCAACGTAGCAAGGGGATTGTTGCTGACGTACTGGCCATATAGTTTTATATTTCACATATTGTATTTTCTATTAAAAATTTTACTATTTTCCTACAAAGAGAATATTTAATATCGAATAAAGATTGTGACAGACACCTACAGGGATATTTAACAAATATACGAATAACATAGCTCTTTATATTCTCACTTATAAATCAAGATCCAAGCAAAACTATCAAATATTAAAAAAAATAGTTGATATAAAAAATTTTGTAAAAATTATACCAATTTCAAGGTTTTCGTCAAACTTAGTCAATATTATGACACAAATGAGTAAACAGAATAATTACATAGATTGAATACATAATATTACAAATCTGCTAAGTAATATTTCAGCCAAACTTCAATATTTACAGTATATTAATTAAATATTTCCCAAGGTTATCAACCTCGCGTATATAGACGCTCTCATCAATTACAGTACATGCTTTAGGATAATTTATAGACATTCATCCAAGCAAATGAAGTTGTCTAAAACTTATAAGCCCGCACCCTAACACAGCGTACATATTACAAACATACGTTTTCATAGGTCCCCATTACTTTATAATTTAGAATAGGATCACATATTTCTTATAGTCACACATATGTACGACGTGGAAACCAATATAATGTTGTACTAGATTATGCCAATCCTAGCCAATATACATGCGTAATTTTATGGTAGGGAAAAAATATTAATACAAAAATGACGTTTATGAAAAGCAGCTAGAATGAATAAATTATTTTTTATTTTAATTTGTTTTGATTTGTTTTAACTGCTGGACGTGTCTCTCTATATACAAAACAAGCCAAATATTACCGAGTATCTTTTGTTTCATTTATTTCTACCGCTAAACAGCATGTTTTGTAAGCTGTATGTCAATTGAAGAACGTGATATCGTGGGTATCATATGAATATGTGTCAGTGATGCTGTTTATTACCTACCATCAAGTATACTGTCAATTTATTTACCATCAAATGAAATCAAGTTTATTCTGCATAAAAATAGTACTAGTAGTGGTGATTATAAAATATAACTTACCATTATGTTTTGCCTTATTATGCATTCCAATAAAAAAATAATAAAAATGTTCCAATTTCATTCGAGTAACATAAAAAATAGCTTCTTAAACATATGTCTCAAGGTCGTTAATCTATTCTATTGATATTCGTACTCATATGTCTCTATGGTAATGGGTTCAATTGATATAAACATCTTCTTATAGATACATTTAATAGTACACTATATCCTTTACAATTTATTACGCTGCTGCCTATGCTCATATAAAATGTATGAAATTCAAACGACGTTTCATAATATGATGCGTTGCCTTAAGACGCTAGCTTGTTATTTTTTTATACTAGAGAAAAAGGCAAACAAGTTGCAACTTTGTAAAATTAACAATATCTTATACATACACTTAGTTAAAACAACGTCTAAGCTTTAATAATAATAATATCTCAGGACAATTGACACAGCGCCATCTAGTCCTAAGCTAAGAACTTGCGTTATAGATACTATAAAACTATTATAAATATATTAATACATTTTTTTTAATCCATACATATTGAACATAGAAACAACTCATAAATAAAAAATCTGGTACCGTGTAAGAAATCTAATCTCGACCATCGGAAGTAAAACTGACGTAAGTAAAACTGAATTAAACTGCTCAACCACTAGACGAGTCTAAGTATCTCAGTTGAGAGAAATTTGGTAATGAAATTCAGATACAGATCTGCCTAGTTATCCGAGATTTAACTATATAAGACCATTGAGGGTTACAGTTCTTATTGAAGTCTGTGAGTCCGATTGAAAATTTGTGAATTACAACAACAATTGTAAAATATTTCGTACAGAATCACAGACTTTCAATTTCCATTCGATTGAAAGAGAATTGGAGCAATAGCGTTAAATAATCAAGTATATAGTAGCAATTCTATGATGTCTTACATTACATATATGTATTACACTACACACACATATGCAATACATATATTAATACTTTTATATACATATATATACGATTATTCATAAAGGGCCTAAGTGGAAAGTCAAAGAATTCATGATATTAAACACTTTTTTCTCAAAATCTAAGGGGAAAAATGAAAATAAAACTAAAATCTTCGTACAAAATTTACTTTCAGATTTCCTCTTCGTTTCTTGGTGAAAAAATGTTTCATGTGTTTCATGAGTATGCTGCCTGACTTTCGTCTCAGTACACCTTTTATGACTAATTGTTTATCCATAACATTCAAAATACAATTTAAAAGATACCTACATAGATGATACTTCTTACAATTTATTAGCATTCTTTATTTAAATTCAAAATTATTATTTTTTTATTACTTTTAAAACCTATTTATTGGCTTATAAGAAATTAATTAAACATTCTGTTTGGCATTACAACGGAAGAGATGAGGGCATTGACGGCTCCGCGACGCCAGAACAAATCCTAGTACGGGATCTAAAGTCTCTCTCAGCTACATCTATGTACGTAATCTAATGAATTATCCGCACAAACATGTTTGTTTTTATGTGCTTGTTTCTTTTATTGTTAGTTTATATGTATTTCTACCCTTATTCATGAAAAATCTTAAAATCGAGTATCATGGTCGTTATTCTTTGTCTAGTCTTACTATAAAAATATATGACAATTCATTAATAAGTGTATTTCGTAAAAGTTAAAAACTAAATTTATTTTTTTCATTAGGGATTATTTATAAATAATCCGTAATGAAATAAATCCTAGAATTTTTATTCTTATTATAGATAAAGATATATCTTTATCTACTTAAAATCTGATAAAAATTCTCTTTATGCATAAGGGTTGAAATTTGCACTGATAAGTATAATAATTGTACATAATTTTGTTGGTTTCACAAAGCTTTAACGATGCTTAATATCTATAGAAGAACGTTGATGTTAGCATTTGTAATTTTCCATTGTACTGCAAATTCAAAGCAAACTAGAAACATAATTAATAATGTAACAGAAGACGAATTGAATTCTATACATGAATAGATATGGTTCATATTCAAACGCTCCATGGAAAATTACAGATGAGAATCAATTATATTGTAGACACCGAGATAAATCCGCCAGTTTAAATTAAATCAAATCGCAAGCGAGAGTACTGAACGAAAGTTTTTTATTGCAGGCTCAAAAATAAAATAAAATTGGAGACGGACGAGAATTGTCGCCCCAAGTCCAAGGAAACTGGTGAGTTGATTTTATTAAATTCCCTGATTATTTCTATAGTCCATTCTTCTCGTCGAGTCTCTTTGTGGAGTAAGTTGAATAAGTAATTATGTATATTTAATTACCAGTTTTACTTATCTTACTAATTATCATACGTACGATAATACGTGAAAGCTAAAACGTGGCAAGAGCTCCGCCGACAAGAACATAGCTCTTAAATTATGAATGAATGCTAATGTAATGCTAAAATGTTTGTTGTTTGAACACACCAATCTCTGGCACTGTGACTAAAGATTAAATAAAAGAAATAAAAACTCTGCATTTATTTATTCAATTTCTTAACAAAGTTATAGGCATATTAAACAGGAAGCTTAGAAACCGAACAAAATTAAAAAGATGAGTAAGATCAAAATCATAATGAAGTAACTAATATGGTAGTGTCTAATTTATTTTAATGAAAGAGATTACTAAGTTAAACTGCGCATAACTTTCTTTTTATGTAATCAGTAAATAGATGAAATATATTATTCAATTTTTATATTATATAATAAGATTAATAAGACACTTCATATCTTTACATACACTGTCAAAGTCAAGATTTAGTGGATCAGACAACAGAAACTGCTTTAAAGTCATTTACACTTTTAACTTGTAGAAAAATTAGGCGTATATATATACCCGACACAGCGCCTTTGACAAAAAGGGGTCTATTTCTATAGGGAAAGTAGGCAGAGATGACTCTTATGCCATAATGTGGAATACAAATCGTATATTTATGTATCAAATCAATACATATAGATACAGAACTGTACGCAACCCATATATCAGATATTGCTGATACGCTTTCATTAATGTTGATATCTGTGTGTTATTCATACATAGGAATATTGTATAGTATATATACTCGACGGAGTTATACATCGTTACCGTGGTATCTAACACGTGTTTCAGGTACGGCTCGATAATAGTGACACAATTTTTATCTATAAAGTTTGTCTGCATGTCGTAGATATTGTATAAATGGATACTGAAATATGCTATATATACAAAAAATGCTGTTTAAAAACAATAAATAATTTAATATCGCCTAAAATATTATCCATCTTATGGAAGTGGGTAGGTGACAATGTGGTTACTAAAAAATAGTTGTGGATGAATATATTATATTTATGAATACAGTCATTTTACATACAAGTGATCTATAAAATATTAAATAAATTCTGTTTTTTGTTACCGTTGCTACCGTTCATGATGCTATCGATATAAATTCAAGGTTACGTTAAAACGTAAACAAGAATAGAATAGATAATTCTTTATTAAAGTAGACTTAAATTTAAGCACTTTTGACTACATATATTCTTAATTACTTTATTCTCTTTCTTAAATTTTATTATTTGTTCATGTTATAATTACCCACGGTGAGTTATGAATGATAAATGGTATATATTACGTAAGATAATAAAGTTTATAATAACATTAGCTAAAAATAGAATAAACAGCGAAGTTTTTGAATACGAAATATAGAATGAAAAATTATTAATAAAAACAAAAGCCAATATGTAAAAATAATCTTGGGATGTTGAAAGGTTTTGCGAGGGTTTATGGAAATCACTGCGCATCATGAGAATAAAATAGAAAATTATGTAATAAAATATATTTAAAAATAGAGTCAGGATAGGATGTAGGACGTGTAAAAATATAAAGTATATTTACAATGTATTTCTCTTTTAAAGAATGTTTAAAACGTTTACATGTTATACTGGGATTGAAAATAATATTCTCATAAAATTCGTTTCATTTTTGGACAAATAATTTTTAAAAACTCGTTTATTTATACAGTTCCGTACTGTTAATATGATTCGATGTAATTTAACAATTTTTCCTTAGATTTCTTAGATTGTAATAATAGTTATTTATTTATGTAACTCTGTTTTATTAATTACTTCGTCTGTTATTTTCTTAAGTAACAGAATGCCAATGTCCGTCCACGTGTTACGATCTATCTCCACACCAAATTTAATTAAGATTATTTCTGCTGTTTATTCGTGAAAAGGTAACAAACAGATAGACAGACGAAAATACCTACTTTAGCATTTGTAATATATATTAGATAAAATAAATTCAATTGTAAATATTTAAAAATATACTCATCTAAAACCGTTTCGTCAAAAAAGCTGATGACTCAACCGGAATTCTCCTCTGCTATTTTGTATTTATAAAAACCATCAGACAACGACTCCGTACTTAAAAATTCGCTAATCGCTACGAACTATCTGAATTTATTTTCCTCTACATACGGAACACACAATCGATTTTCGGCAACCAAACGTTAATTGACAGCGGTGTAGTACCTATCTACTAAATGGTTCATTCTGTTTGATTGTGATTTCTACTGTGTTACGTGGTCTTTTTCTATTACACACTACGAGGTACGTAGTACGTAGGGCTGCTATGTTCAAAAATGAAAGTTCAACAAAATTTCCAAATATCCTCGAATTCTGATTTTATAACTAAGCAAAATATTAAATTACTAGTTACTCGCCCGCGTTTCGCACGTGTATACGTATGTACACATATAAACCTTCTTATCGAATAACTCTGAATCTATAATATTAATCATATATTTCCAGTCATAATATCAATACGTTGAAATTTTAATACATTGTGTATATATAATATCAATACGTCATATCCAAAACATAAATACGATACAATACCACCTATAACCGATATTACTTTCCGTCTTCTCAATCATCTATCGTTAAAACTGCCATGTGCATTACCATACGTATGAGTATTAAGTATCATCAATTATTCCATAGAAGCTTGAAAGCCTGTTTGATCGCAAAGCATTTATACGCTTGGATGCTGACCAGTTTATATTTCTGTACTCTGTCAACAGTTGGTAGGTTTGCTAACGATGGAAAATTGGTTTGTTAGGGAAGGCCACAGAGTATATAAATAGTACTCTCCAGTCCCACGCACGAATGTTTGTAGTGTGACATAGAGAATCGGAAATAAACAAAACAATATTATTATTCACCAGCCAATTATAGAGTTAGACATTCAACATTCTGAATAATGAAACCCGTATTTGTGCTTATATTGTCTAACACATGAAAATCTATATTTGATTGTTTGTTCACATTTTATTCGCTGTTGTATCGATTAAATTTTATCAGCTCTTACACGAGGATAGATATATATAATATATATACAAGTAGGTGCAGTTTATTACAAGATAATATACTCAAATTTTCAGCGCCTACAATACACCGGATGTCCATTAGTATATTCTTTAAGTAATTCGAATTGCAATAAATTTATGGCCCACCAGATGGTAAATGGCAACCTAATTGCCTAAATACAGGAACAGTACGTTAATATTCCAGAGAATTAAGATGTCATACTAGTTGTCCTGTAGTTTAGCTGCCTTCTACCGAAATACAGCTTGAAAAGTAATCTCTTTGGCGGATAAACATTTATATAATTTTATTATATATGTAGTTTTTTTCAGAAAAATATAGAGCATAGCAACCCTATAAGTGTTGGTCACAATTATTTCACGTCCACAGAATACGTGGTGCCCGCACCACCGCGCGTGACCGTCGAAAAGCCCTTCATACTCTCGGACGGCAGGTGAGTCTACTTTATAGACCAACTATACATCTCAAATAATAGGGTAAAGCCGGAAGGACGATAATATTGCTTTGCGGACCTCTTTTTCGCTCGAAGGGCGGAAGGGTCTTTCTTGTTAAAATTCAGTGATTCGGTAATCTTATCCGCAAACCATATTCAATATTCACGTATTAATAACCAGGGTCCGGTAGTTGAATACGTACATATTTATTTTCAGACTTCATAAATTAAAACATAAATATTTATTACGTGAACATTATGAATGCAATTCAATTTTTCCGGATATATTTGGATACAATTTTATGCTTTTATTCATATGCAATAATTATGACTTTCTACCAAATTTCCATTTATTTATTTACCAATGAATTACTGACAAAATTGAAAGTGTATCGAAATATTTTAGTCAGCTTATATATGTACCGTGTTACGGTTTAAATGGTAAGATATGGTGGTAACATTACTGAATATGCAAATACCTAATTCTCAGTAATGCTAATATATTACCATCCATTACTGAATACGGAAAGGTCAGGTCTAAGACCTCAGGTATAACAACATAAGTATACAATAAGACGCGTTCATCAACAAACCATTTCTCCGAGACTTTTTACGTCTCGTTATTTCTTATACTATTAATAATCAGAAATTATGGCACGCAATATGCGCCGTAAAAAGGTTTTCTTTTCTTTGAAATCTATATTTATTGCTAACTCGGCGTTTGTAGTCAAAATTGAATCAATCAGCGCACTTTCTAACGTTATAGGCGACTTCCTTCCAAGCGCCACGGGGGATCACATCAAAGGAGTATCGTATATGCTATTTATTCGTGATTTCCTTTAACAATAACAATATTTCCAACAGAGTGGAACTTGAAGCATGGCTGGATAAAGCTACATATTTTCATGGAGAGTCGGTGAAGTGCAGTGTCGTTATAGCCAATCATTCGTCGAAGACTGTACGTGGTATAAAGGTGGGTATAATATTTATTATATGCTTTATTTAAATATAGTAAATATACATTAACTGATGCAAAAGACAGTCTTATCGTTAAGCAATTTCTTCTAGACTACTATTGGATAGAGAAAATAGAAAACAAAAAGAGTAGGTGGTGCAGGTATCAATACCACCTGCTTCTTCCTTATCCCATTTATTTGGGGTCGGCGTAATATGTGCAGAGTTAGTAATTATTACGGGTTCTCATCGTGTTCTAGGAAGTTCAAATTTGGTATGCAGATAGGTAATTAGGTGAATATAAAGGAAAAAATCTGAAACTGGTAAATTGTTTTCATTTTACTACAATTTTTCACTTTAATTGATTCTATTTCAACTTTACTGGACGAATACTAAAATTCTATGAAAACGTCGATAGCCACCAATTGACATTGATTCATCCCTCAGTGTCGATAACTAGCAAACTTCGCAGTCATCGTATTAATTATTGTTTCAATATTTGTTATTAGGCATTTATCATCTTACCAATAGTTTAAACCAAAAATTAATTTCACACAGTCCATCCATCTCTTTTTCGGCCTTCCTCTGTTCTTATAACCATCCACATTCATACTCGTATATAACACCTTCTTTAAAAGGTGGTGCAGGTACTACACACATATTTATATATGTATATATAATAAATAAGACGTACTTATATACTTACTAGCGTACTTACATGTATTTGAAAAGAATGAAGGAAATAATGACCATTAGTTTAAAAGGATAATAAGAAATTAATTACAAACATATATTTACTAATGACACGAAATGAAACGTATTTGGCGTCATAAAGGAATCACAAAATACTATTTACTTATTAAAACTTGAAACTTGCCTTAAAACTTTAAATTAATTTATTAACTTAAGTCAATTAGGTAATTAGTTATTTAAGTTAATATTATATTAAAATTTCTGCAAGTTGATTAATTTCATTAGTAATATTAAAATGTTGAACCCTTCATTAATAAAAACAGAATAGCGTTATAAATAAAGATTTATTTCAACCTCTACATTATTTCAAAATTGCAGTTAAAATATTTAAGATGTTTAAAATCTTAGAATTCAAGAGTGACCTTAACAACATAGAATACAACAGTGACTTGCAAACCAGCTTTGAATATATTTCACTGCATTAACAACTCAACTGTGTATGCAACACTTAAATAAAACAAGTCTTTACGAATGTACAACGTCAGTCCCATGTTACTGCACTTTTATGGTCTGCCCACCAAAGCAAAGGTCAAAGCAGTCTTTCTGACTTATTTATTAAGTCGTAAACAGAAGTAACAACTCGTTGTACCAAGGTTGTCGCCATTGTTTAAATATTACACAGTGTTGTGTTAAACTGCAAGTAAGTTGCATTAAACTATGTTATTGTTTGATGTACCAATACTGAAAACAAAATTAACTTTAAAAAAAAAACAAACCTAATACCTAATATATATATATTTATATATATAACCTAAATAATTATATCTCAGGACAACTCACATAGCGCCATTTAGTTCCAACCTAAGCAGAGCTTGTGTTATGGGTACTAGACAACTGTTATAAATAAATATATATTTTTTTTTGTAAATATATAGGATAATGTACATAGAATACACCCAAACCGATACGAACTATTATACTCATGGATACAAATGTTTGTACATGTGCTACCAAAATTATATTAGGTTAACCACCACGTGATATCACCTCGAAACCATCGTGGTTAATATCTGCTGAATTCATCACAATGGAGATACTGACTGGACATTATCCTCATACCAACCATAGTTTACGGTGCTCCGCCACCATGTTTTTTATTGGGGAGTTTGGGTTATTGTCAGGTGCTTGGACCTGTAGTACTGCGACCTACATAGCTCTATTGTGCTCGTCCTTTTTCAGAGTTCACTGCCTAAACCCGTCAAGCACAAGAATTGAAGGATATTCTTAAGAGAAATGGTTTTTATCTCCTTGGGATAGAGTGTAAATTCTCCAAAGGAGATATTACGTTTATACATGAGTAGACAGCAACCACATCGTATGTGTTGCGTTTCCTCTTCAGTTTGGCAAAAACTACAGATTTAAAAGTAGTATGTTTGTTTGCAGACTTTGGTGATTCAACACGTGGACGTGTGTATGTTCTCAAATGGGAAATTTAAGAACGTGGTGGCATCTGTTAAATGCATTGGCACCCGTGTCAGGCCAGGACAACGACTCACCGAGACCTTCAACTTATTGCCTGACAGAGGTAACATCTTTAATCTAGAATTTTTTAATCCGATCCGTAGTTGTTACGTCTCTAATACCTTGTAAGATTTAGGTCCTGTTGACTGAGTTCTGTATTATTGTCCGATAGAGGAAACATCTCGGTAAAGTAGAGTTTTTTAATCGGTTACGTAGACTTAATGTCTGTAATACCGTTAAAAAATTACTGTCCGAGTTCTTTAGGAATGTCTTATGTAGGTGACTTAAGTACCTAATTGTTAAGCCAGTTTCCGTCTCAACTTAAGCCACTTTTGTAAATTTTCTTATCAAGTTTTCTTAGTTTTTTCTTTATGTTTTTGTCTCATCTGAATATACATTACGAATTCGGTGGTGGAAACAAAAATTCTATTCATAAGCTATTACATAAAATTTACTTGAATAATAAATGAAAAAAAATCCACTCCACTTTGAATTACTGCGATATACTTATATACGAGTGTTAATGTACAATTAATACTCATATATAAGTATATCGTAGATAATATATTGAAATATAATAATTAATATATAATATAATAATTTGAAAACTGAAACTTGCACAAGTGTAACAGTTCAGACATTTCTATTTTCATATGTATTACAGATGAGTATGCACTTATAGAATTTCAAAATACGTATTATTATATAAATGCTATTTATATCTTGACAGTTTATAGACATGGGTGATGTTGCAGACAGTGCAATTAATTCAGAGCGTGAGAGATTCTAACAATGTTTGTTAATTAAGTTAATTAACATTGGACTCTGTAAAATAATTAGTCTGTTGTTGTTAATATTAAAAATATATATGTACTTATATATATTTACTGATATATATAATAAAAATTTATTTCCTATTTGACTACAACGTTCAATTATAGTTGCAAAATAGGAGAGGTAATGGCTAAGAAATAATTTTGCGATTTCTTCATATGAATTTCCATTGATAACATAATCAGCACCATCAAAGCCTCGAGCTTAGAATAACAACAACTTTAAAAAAACAAAAAATACTTTACTTTTTTATAATCTCTACTTAAATAGAGTGTAATACGGAAATGTAAAAATTAAAATAGATTATTGAATTTGTGTGGAAGTAAGATGAATTATTTGAAAAACAATGTAACTGGTCTTTGTTAATACATTATTATGATACAGTAATCAATAAATCAATCAAAGTAAAGATGAGGGAAATTGAATTAGTTTGATTTAATTAATAATAAATGGACTGATTCGTTCGATTAGTTCCGTATTGGTTAACATTCAGAAATAAATGCTAAACATTAAAAATATAGAAGACTAAAATAATTTTATAGCAGTATATAAACAATATTGGATGTTGTTCACAGGTGTTACGAAAAACTGGATTGCTTTAGAAGATTCATACTCAAAAACCGGCGCAAGTCTTGCGTCTACAGTCGTTTGCAGTAATTCCCCGGAAGATCGCAACGTATTCGCTATCTACGTATCCTATTACGTTAAAGTAAAATGCATTCTCAGTAAAATGGGCGGCGATTTATCTGTTAAACTTCCATTTATACTCACACATTCTTGCCACAGCGAGGCACCAGTCGAAACTGTTACTGAAGATGTAAGTCCCAAGGTAATATTAGAAGGGAAAGAAAACAGCGATGATGATTCATCATGTAACTTAACGGTAGAAAAACGGAATGCAAGTGGCGTCATTAGCCGTCAACCTGGTAAGAGTCAAGAGTTTGAAGAAACCATTGAGAATGAAGACATTGAAGTAAAATCTCCTGAAGACCATCGCTGTATCGCTGATGTTTTAGTCAACATAGAAAACAAGATTGTAAGACCGAAGGTGTTTGAAGGGACTGAGGTGCGAGCAGCTAAACCTGCTGATGAAGAATTGGACCTTATAGTGAAGTATCCAGGATCAGATACGTGATCCGATGAAGAATTGTGTACAGGGAAAGGTGATAAAAAGACTGAAGAAAAAGCAAAGCCAGTGGTTATTACCGATTGCAAGAAAGAGGTCCAAATGAATAAGAGTGGTTTTACGGAAAATTTGAAGAGAGCTGTATGTTGTATAGACAGGAGGCGGCATTCATAGCTGTCGGAGTGTGTATTGAACAATATTGGCACACCACATGACTACAACAATGTGTTTTTGATTGTCACAATTGTTACCACAGTGCTCACGGTGCATGTTTGTGTTCAAGTAACGGAGTGGAATAAAAGACATGAAAAATAATATTAAGCTGTAATCATTTGTTCTTTGAAGAATTGTAATTATTACATGTTATTACTATTAAGTACTAATTCAAGTTACTTCAAGATGAACAGTGATTGATGATGATGAGTATTATATAACTCATACTGATTTCTTAATTAAACATAGTAAATTTATTTCAGTGTCCACCCACTTTTTTAAAAATTATACAAAATTAATGTAGTTATATATTAACGGCGTCAATCCTAAATATGTCTGAAAAGAACGAATTGCTAATCTAGTCATTAGAATGTGTTACAATAATTTTTTTAATGGATGATAATGCTGGGGCGCGAGTGGAGATGATAGGATGAAGTTAGAGTCAGGTAAGTTAGCCCATCGTGGTCAATTCATCTGGAATCGTGGTTAACACGATGGTTTCCAGGGTTATAATTCTCTCCCCCTGTGTGACTATAATTACTGTGTTAGTAAATATATTAATATACATTACAAGATACGACCGCTCATGTCCGCTTTTCGTTTTATTTTTGAACATGTCTAAATATTAAACAAAGATTAAACCAATTTAGAAATTTTAATGTGATTTTCAATAAATATCTTTTAGAAATGATTATGATAAAACTATAATATTATTCGTAAGTACCTACATATGTCGAACTCCAATTATCTAAAACATACCTATTTATAATATTAAAAATATATTAATTTAGATGCACTTTTGTAATTTAACTAAGCTCATATTTGTAATAAGAGTTTCTATAAAATAATAATATAAATTTCTACAAAATAACTGTCCTTTTGAAAATGAACTTCTTAAACAGACGTATTGTCTACCTGTAATTAAATGCAAAATGTTTGTAGGTAAACGTAAAATATATAATTTTGAAAGCAATTTTGTAATAAAATCAAAAAGTTTTAATGACAAACTCGTTGTTTTCGTTTGTCTAAGTCGCCAATTATTTCTTGTAAATTACACAATGAATTTGAATACCCGGAAGATATAATATGCATATATGTATGTAGTTTATACAAGCTTCATTATATACTCTGTATTTCCGAGCATAGACAATGTGGGGAGTTCATTTTCTATATAAAATTACTTACGTAGTCTACGTATGTACTTTAGAATTTCAGTTTTCAACGAAATAATCATTTTCGATGCGAATTAAACATGATTTTGGTCAATTAGGTGTAAGATTGTTTGTCACAAGACTTGGCTAGAGCCGAAAATAAAGCCTGAATGGATATTACGCTTACTAAATTGTAGTCTGTGTTAGAATTATATTAAGTATTTACCTAGAGATATGTTCCTTTCATTTCTGTATCATAATTTTAACATTAAATTAATTGTTATGTGGAGTGAGTCGTTTTAATTCAATTTCTCTTTAAAATAATATAATAATTATAATATCCTAGGACATTTAGCACAGCGCTAGTCTAGTCCCAATCTAAGGAGAGCTTATGGCAACTGATAAAAATACATAGAAAACTCTCAGACGGATGCAAACAATCATACTCGTGAATACTTATATTTGCACCGTGCTCCTCGCACGGTGCAAATATAATCGAATCCGCGACCATCAGAAATAAATCATGAAATCACTGAGACTGTCAAAAATGTATATCTTAATATATAATATTATAAACGCGAAAATTTGTGAGTTTAGATGTTTGTTACTCTTTCACGCAAAAACTACTGAACGGATTTTGATGAAACTTTACAGTAATATAGCTTATGCATCAGAATAACACATGGGCAATATTTCATATTGTAATTTAACGCAGGTGAAACCGTGGACACAGTAGTAAATTAATAAATACATTTTTAAGATAGCCTATTTAACTAAAATATCCTCCTCATTTTTGAAGTTGGTTGACTAAACAACGTCGTTATTTATTAATGAATCTATTGGAACGTCGTTAGTGTAGCGGCTCTATATGAATAATGTATCTAGAATCAACCTTATTTAAAGGTGATTAAGCTCTAGTATGCTTTGAAGGACTTGATATTAAGTATGCAATAATTGCTAGATCAATTAGGAAGTTTCAGAATCTAGTTACAAACTTTCAAATATAATGGCTGCGTTAGAAGTCTGTACCTTGTTTATTATATAATAAGGCTTCGCTATCAGTCGCTTCCTATAAAATACATATATACAAATAAATAAAATTGAAGTGTCTGTTTGTAATTTCAAATTAACAGCTTTTCACTAAATACATATGAAAATACGGCACTTACATCAAAAACATATTTTTAAATTTTGTGTCCATTTGTTCTTGCAAATCTCTGATACGGCTGGAGCGCTTTGATGGGACAGATATAACTACTTTAATTAAAGATTTTATTAAAGAAATTCTATTTATTTCAATTTAAAATAGTTAAATTTCACGCAGATGAAGTCGGGGCTATGCTAGTATATATGATGATCGTGTCAGTCTGGCGTATGGCAGTTTAACAAATGTTTCTACTATGCGGGGACTCGAACACGCGATTAACGGAATTAAAGCGGTGTACTCAACTATTTGACCACCGAGGGTGTCAATACAAATACTAATCTCTTATTCTACCCATGCAAAGCAGGGACGAAGCTAGTCCTATACACAATGAAGGCTCTTTGATCTCCCGTCGACACAAATTTAACCCGCATATCAGCTGCAAGTGGCAGGTCATTTCGCGCCAGCAAGAACGTCATTAACAAAACCGTTGTTACCACCTGTCACCTATCTATAACATGAGTCCATTACTCGAACTTTTAAACTGGATACTGCATACCTATATACCTAAGAACGCACGAACGAGAACATTTCTTAAAAAATTTCTATCCACGGACCTACCTATTAAAGAAAATAAAATTTCAAAGAATTTTATTAGATCAAGTACTATTCTTTATCATTGACCGGCCAGCAAGAAACTGTTAATAAACAAATATAAAACGATAACAATAGTCACCAAGAACAATAAGTATGCGCTCCAAGAAAGTAACAGAAATAATTTAATATACATCAAGAATTCACTAATACAAAAGTGGGGGTTTTCGTAGTAATCATGGTCTCATCTGTAGTATTATAGAACTCAAACAATAATTTTGTCTATATTTGAATCACAAAGTAAAATCAGTGAAGTGAAAATGATAATAAATATAAATGTTTGTTTACTGCGAAAATCGAACTCGGAACCCTGTAATTAAGATCATATTAATATTTTTCTCTATCGTCCAGTTCGGTACACAAATTCAATTAAGAAAACGAGCAGTAACTCAACTGAATTTCTTAAAAGCCGTTTATTTACATTGTCTACATGTGTGTCTATATAAATTCGGTTCATTAATTCGATTTTTTTATTTATTTAGGATCACCAGCAATAGTTACAATCATAGATTTTTTAATTACATGTAATGGGTTATGATCTAAATGCACAATTGTTTATGGGTGAACATGGCATGCAAAATAATATACAAAAGTTAAAGTTACAACATAAATCTTAAATTAACTGTTTATATGAATAAATACGAGTATGTATAAGCTTTTAGAAAGTTATATAGACCATTGCTCATTACATTAAGATAATGTATGTACCTACTGTTTCATTCTTATATTCCCTTTAATCTTACAGAGTGACTGACATTGAAACTTCGCTTTATAGATACATATACAACAAAACAAATTCAAAAGAAGGATTTTTGTGAAAGATTAGCGTCGCCGATCTCGGCTTGTAAAGTTCAAATAGGTTTCACGAAAGACGCTCGGCTTTAACAAGAAACTCTTGAGATATCACAAACGATATGTATTTTTTTATGGATGATAAGAATGGAGTACTCAGCTGCGCTAACGGTAATACTGGCGGGGCACCAGTGAAGCATGATAAGATGAGCATGAGGTCAGATCAGTTAACCCATCGTGATAAATTCTCCGAGAATTTATCACGATGGTTAAACAACCAACCCAACCCAACCCCCCCCCCCCCCTATTTATTTTATTATGATGGTATCGAGAGGGAAACGCGTGGTGATCAAACCTGACATTCAGTTTGATCTTAAACAGTTCACATCACTAACAATCCCATCGCTATGTATTGCCGAGATAGACTTTGTATATATCCGTATATACAAAGCAACTCATCCATCCCCCAACTAGCTTTGTAAGCTGTGTAAGTAGAAATTACAGGTTGCGGGGGTCTGACAACTTAGTTCTCTGATGTAATGTTCCTTGATGCTGTTCAGGTGACCCTTGATGACAGGCGATGCAGAGAGACGCAGAACAGGTACTGGTGGAGCTACTACTGGCATCAAATTTTCACGTACTATTCCTTGACGCTGTTCAGGTGATAGTTTTTATGGAATGATGCACCCGCCTGCGCTAACGGTTCACGTTGGCGGGGCACCAGTGGAGGATGATAAGATGAACATGAAGTCAGGTCAGTTAGCCCATCGTGATTAATTCTCCGGGAATTTATCACGATGGTTTCTAGGGCGAACCGCGTGGAGGTCAACCTGACATGGTACATTGCTAGTAATAGGGTCATGAGTCCACATTACTAACAATTCCTTTCCCCTCTCACATTCACCTGAATGGTGATAGTTGATGACAGGCGATGCAGAGAGATGGCAGACAGACATATACAGGCAACGTTTGCCACTTACGATCAAATGTGTCGTTAGCTGGCTTGCCTTACAAATATAAAATATAAATATCCAACATTTTTTTGTAGCTACACATAAGATTCTGAAACTATTATTAACTCGAGTTTATAAATAAAATATCGAAATATCCAAAAGCGAGGGCGTATTTTATTTTTAGTAGCTAAATAAATGTCACCATCAACTTTTGCAGCATCACAGCGATAAGAGCGATGTCAGGAATATTCTTTTTCGGGTTGATAGATGGGAGTACGGCGGAAGTATTGTGTATTGTTGTTATTTGTAGAGTAATAAGCCTCAGTCGCTTTATCAATATTGAGAAAAGGAGTAATGATTTATCTATAAACATCAATCATACTATAATTATAGAATATACGATTTGCAGTATTTTATACGTTGTCAAATATTGGTAATTTGGTTTGTATTTGGAATTTTCGTCTCTAGAGACCGATCCAAAATCATTAATATATAATAATATATACTTTTAAATTACTGTAATATAGAATATGATTATTCATTTCATTAAATTATTGTGGCGACATTAATACAAGTTATAAAATTAAAATACATAACTTATTATCACAATTTATGTCTTTTAAATCTTTTAAAAAGGAATAAGCTCTTTTCTTGAAGGTTTCAATATCGTATCGGTTCGGAAATACCATTGCTGGATTACCATGGTTGTGTGGGGCAAAAAGTTTCTAGAAAACCGTACTGTGGAAGAACGCCATTCATCCAGATGATCAGGATGG